GTTTCTGCTCCCACATGGTGCCTTCTTGCTCCATCCTCTGGAGGGAGGAACCCTGTATCCTCACATGGAGAATGGTAGAAGGGTGGACAGGGCGAACTCCCTTCTCAAGCCTTTTTATAAGGGCACCTAATCCCATTCATGAGGATTGAGCCCTCAGGGCCTAATCACCTCCTAAAGGCCCTACCTGTTAGTACTGTCACATTGGCAACACCTCTAAATTTTGGAAGGTACTCATTCAAATCATAGCAGCACCTAAAACTGATATCTTGGTTCTACTTCCCCAAGCCTGGCCTACCCCCAGTCCCAGTATATTTCCTGCATTGGTGAAGGGCAACTTCCATCATCCAGTTATTTAAAACAGATCTTGGAGTCATCCTCGACTTTTCCTCTCATGCCTTATATCCAATCCATGAGCACGTTCTGTTGAGACTCCTTTCACCTTATATTTCCAGTCTAACCACTTCCACCCACCTCTTCCAAGTCTCTTCATCTCTGAGTGGATCATTGTGGTGGCCTCATCACTGGTCCCCCAGCTTCCACCATTTTCTCTCTGTGACTCCCGAGATGATCTTTTTCAAGTGTTGAGTCACTTTTCTTCTTGGAACTCATGGATATGTCTTCCTCACAGTAAAATATGCCATCCCTACAGAAGCTGTGCCTTCTACCACCAGTACACACACAATCCCTTCTTCCCAGTTTCCTGACCCTTTCCCCTGGTTCACCTTCCTGTCCCTCTACCTTCCAGGCATCCTCTGTTCTCAGAGGGCTTTGGTGTTTACTGTTTGGTAAAATACTGTTCCCCATAGACTTGTCCTTCACTCAGGTCTCAGTGTGAAGCTCACCTTATTACCTACCACAGCCCTCCCTGACCACCATATCTAAAATACAACCTCTTGATCATTCAAGGGTTTATTCTCTTCATAATGTCATTACCACCTACATATTATATTGTTTGTTTCTTGTCTGTCTCAATGAGATGGAGGCTCCATGAACATAAGGTCTTTTTCTGTGGGTCCTTTTCCCCAAGGGTTACAAGCAGTGCCAGCTACAGAGTTCAGTGTTGCCTGATGGGATTCTCCCAGATTCTTCTCAGTTACCAGTTCCATGTGCCTTTAGGGTAGAAGTTTATTTAACACTGCTGGGTATTATAATCACTAAGGAGCTAGCCTAAAATGTACATGCCATGACCCCACCCTCTAGAGATCCAAATGCAGTACATTCTGGGGTAGGATCTAGAACATTTTTTAACAAGCTCCCCGGGTGATTTTGATGTCTGGGGTAACCAAACCACACTTTGCAAAATGCTGTCTCGTTGTATGAGTTTACATTTGTCTATCTGTTGTTCTGCTTTGTTGAGTGTTGTTTTATGTATATCAGCAGTTTTTGAATCACCTGGAAACCTAAATATAGATCTCCTAGCTCCACCCCAGATCTTGTGAATCAGAACTTCCAGGGATGAGACCTGGGAATCTATATTTTTGAAAAGCTCTCTTGGTGCCTCTGGTGCAGCCAGTCTTCCCACTAGCCTTTGGGAGCTCCATCTGCATTTTACAGACTCCATGAGGAAGTTGTAAACTCAAGAGCAGGTGTTTTCTATGTCCTTTTAGGCCAACCTCTCTCTCCAACCCTCACTAATCCAGATGTGTTCTGTTCAAAATTGGTATTCAGTAGGTAGTAGGGGTGAGTTCCTTGGTTTATCCACAGTTTGTGTGCTTTTGTAACTTGAACATCAGCCAGTATTTCTAACTACATTTCAAACCAGCACATTCTGATTAGAGGCAGGAAGCAAGTCTTAGTTGCCCAACTCATTCTGGTGGGAACTCTGTGCAGTTCTTTCTGTCCAGAAATTTAAAATGTGTTTCCCAGGTCAGACCAGACAGCATTGGAGAAACGTCACCCATCATCATATTCAAACAGTCTCCTACTTGACCTTCCTCTTGGATCTGTACCGGGGCACACGTGCTGTGGCTGTGTTCAAACTTGGGGTGCACTCACTGGTCTCCAGAGCATCCCCAGAGATGGGGAAAAGGCCTGACCCCTTGCTCTGAGGCCTGCCTGGACTGCTCAAGTTGCTGAGAGAGGGCATCTTCCTCGATTAGACTTCTGGGGCAGTGGCCTTCCCTACTTATTTTTTTTATTTTTATTTTTTTTCCTTTTTGTCTTTTTTCGTGACCGGTAACGGGATCGCAACCCTCGGTGTTGCGCCCGTACCACGACCGGCAACGGGATCTCAACCCTTGGTGTCGCTCCCGCACTGCGCTCAACCAGTGAGCGGACCGGTCTCTATATGGGATCCGAACCCTCAGCGGGAGCGCCACCGCACTCCCAAGCGCCGCACTCTACCGAGTGTGCCACCGGGCCAGCCCAGCCTTCCCTACTTCTATGGTTTTGCCCTAGAACTATATATTGATACTCTCCACAGGTAGAAATTTTAATCTAAAATCGTCAAAGTATTGCCCAAAATTGAAACAAAATGGGGGGTAGGATGGTAGTGGGGCAGGTGGCCAGGAATGGAGTATACCAAGTAGCAATTTTTGCAGAATTTTATTCCTTGGCCTACACTATGAGCTAGCTTCCAGGTTATGAAGAATCATTTATAAAGGCCCCAAGATATCCTCTTGGTTAATCTGCTTCTTAAACAGTTGAGTCCCCATCGGGTGTTCACTCTGGACTTTGAATGGCCAAGTGGTAGCCTCTTTGAATATGTTGGGTTTGTCTCTATTCTTTGCAGAAGATGACAAGATCATTAAATCTAAAAAGTGGTGGTGTTATCCATGTAAACCTGGGAGGCACTGACAACCTTTTCAGCACACACTGTATATCAGCACTTTGGATTTTTGCCTCTGAATAAGCCGTGAGTTGCATTCTGATGCCAGATGTGAGGAGCCATTAGTAATCAGGACAACTCCCTTTGGGAAATTCTGTTCCCAGGTGATAGCTGCTTCCTCAGGAATACTTGTTTGTAAAGGCACCAGAGGCTGTGATTTAGTGACAAAGGGGAATGAATTGACCCTAGAAATGTAAGAATAAGAGATTTCTAATGAGACCTGACAGTTCAAGGGCTGAAGAAGGAGTCTAATCTTTTTTTTCCTGCCCACCCAGTCTTCATACAAATGTAAATATGCCTGCTTCAACAAATTGCCAAATGTGGTTTTAATTTATAAGCAGGAGACCCTGTCTTGTCTTGCCTTTCTCTTTCTTTTTTCTTTTTTTTCAAAACTAAGTCACAGGTTTTACACTTTTTGAACTGGATATTTCCTCTTGTCACTCTGTCACTGTTTCTGTTGTCCCTTGTCTTCCAAAGACATTTCCCCCATTGTTGTCAGAGGAATGTGGGATGAGAGCCGACTGCTCTGTTTCTTAAAGAAGTTTTTGAAGTTTGCATAGGAAATACACGGTGCTCTTTAAACTGAATTTTAAAAATAAATAAAGGCAGTGATTACATCCAATATGAGATTGGAAGAGTGTCCCTATGGTGGCTTCACACTTTATGGGGTGTGCACAGTATCCATTGTTGTTATTTATGACCCTGTCTGCCTTCCATTGTGGGCTTCTTCCAGCCTTGGGGAATTTACATCATTCCTAATAGCAAAAGGCTTTCTGGTTCCCACAGAGTTGTTCAAAGCCTGACTCATGCTCCTTATGTTAATTGTTCAGCTCTGAAAATACAGCACTTACAGGGTGTGGCTGTAAGGGGAAAATCTACTGTACTTATAGGGCATGTTTAGAAGTGTTTCACACATAAATCTCGATCGCTCTCAATCTCTCTCTCTTTCTCAGTCTCTCACTTAGCTTTTAAACTGTCATTCTTTTTGGTCAAATAGTAAGTCTTATAAAACAAAAAAATAAAAGGGAGAAGCATCAAAATGGTATCATCCAATAAAATACATAATATTCTGTTCACTAACTCTTGAAACTGACTTGGGTTATAACTGGGTATGACTTTGAGTGACAGTCGCTGGGTCTGAAACCTTAGGCATGGTTAGTGAGAGCTAAAGGCTCATATTTAGTGGTGCAGGGCAGTGACTGGGGAAAGATGCTCACATAGGCCTGTGAGATACCCAGGCATAACAGTAATGACTGCTGTCTACCAGGTTCTCTGGGGGTGGTCACTGTTAATTCCAATGTAAGCCTAAAGAAGGGACCTACTGATAACTTAGCAAAACTTCCTGGAGTAGCAGCATTTTACTGGAATTTGATGGGGAAGAATTCCTAGTTTCCCAGAAAATGAAAGAAGTTACCACCTTGTCTGGATTAACTACTTGCTAACCAAAAGGAAAGGATTCCAAGCGTATGAAGTGGGTCGATGTTGGCAAAGGTTGGGAGGCTTTTACATTTGTAATTACTTCCTTATGATGCTTCCATGGGAACATTAAAGGATAGATAGGCAGATAATCTATGCGTTATATAAAACCTTGGTAGTAGTTAATAGAAGGGAAAAAGAAACTCCCAGATTTTTAGTAGCCAAGAATCACAAATTCCAGTTTTCAAAATACCTGTATTAAAAGGTTTATCTCTTGATGTAGTCTTGAATGTTGCAAAGATCGTATTGTCTATTTTTGTAAATAGAGAAAATGTGAGGAATTCTTAGGATAATCAGGGGACAGACCACTGTGCCACCAAGTCTTGCTGGAAGAACAGAGTTTGCAAACGTGCTGCTGCCTAGCATAGTGGTTCTGGGCTTTTGTTACAGTTTGGACCACAGCGATATCAGATACTGGCCATGAGTTCCCAGATGGTTTGGAATCAACATCCTTTACATTACAGTCTTCTATGCTTGTGGTACATGTTAATGTATGAAATGTGTGAACTAGGAGTCCAAAAGAAGGTACAATTTACCTTAAAGTCCTAGATAAAAAGTTAAAATAGCTTAATACTAAGCAGTTTCATTTAGTCATTACAAAAACAAATCTGTTCAACAGGGCAGTCAGAGTGTAACTGTTTACTCTCATGTTCAGCTGATAGATTTCTGGTTGAACTTTTGTTATCTTTCTGAGTAGACAGAAAGAGCTCTCCATGGAGTGTCTGATTATTTTTCTGAGTGTGCGGAGAGTCCACTTCCTCCGAGTGCAAAGCTCAAGAGAAATGCTCTGAAAGAAATGTAAGTCCACCATGTTCCTTTTTCTCATTTTTGACTGCCTCTGTGTATGGTTAGATAACATGAAGTCTAGAATTAAACAGGAGTGCATGGAACGTAATCACAAAATCCCCTCTGGCACTGATCCTACCCTAAGTCATACACTTGCTCTTCCCACCCTTTTTCTCATTTTTGACTGCCTCTGTGTATGGTTAGATAACATGAAGTCTAGAATTAAACAGGAGTGCATGGAGCGTAATCACAAAATCCCCTCTGGCACTGATCCTACCCTAAGTCATACACTTGCTCTTCCCACCCTCCTGACTCTTTCTCTTGCTTTCTGGACAATGGGGATGGAGTCCTTGCTTCACAGGTATGTTGCAAGGAGTAATTAATTACAAGCTCTTTGAAGATGAAAAGCACCTGTTGGTGGTACGTTTCATACAACTGACAGAGTAACTACAGACATCTAAAAACTACATTCCTTTCCTAAGATGCCTGTTCCAACTTTAATATAATTATGATAATCCTTGTGCCCCTGATAGCAGCAGTAAGAACATGAATATATATTTGTTTCCACACTAAAACTTAGCCAAAATAAATATTTCAGCTTCAATGTTTTGATTTTGGTGGTTGAAGAAATTTTTTGCCATTTACAAACCTGCAATTATATGCTGAAGTTAAAGTCTCTAGTTTCTAAATTCTCCCTCTACAGCTTCCATCCTGCCCCTCAATGTTAATTTTACAATCAGAGTGAAGTTTACATTGCCTGTTGTGCAGGCTGTAGAAAAGGGGTTTAGATATAGGCAGACAGACAGACACTCTCTTGACTGCCATGATTGTACTTCCTTTTGTTTTAGGCTGGCTGTCCGAAATTTCTTTCAGGATGTTTCAAGTTATATTAACTGAGTCCTACTCCCATATGGTTGATGAACAAGCTGGACATCAGCTAAATGGTGGTTATATTTGAGTAATATCTTGAAGTGACCTGAGAGAAATTCCAGAAGATTATTCTTTACTCAGAAATAGAAATTGTGTGTGTGCATATTTGTGTACACACACACACAGTCTGAGCTTTGGATGTATTTGAGCATCTACTCCTGGAAAAAAAATGTATCAAGTATAGGCAATATTGACCTTTAACATCTGAAATGAATACCTGTTTGTCTTAGTTAAAATGTGAACTCCACCGTAACTCCATTGATAACCCAATGATTGATAAACAAAATTTATCCTAGTATAATGGAAAATGTGAAGGTTATTGCTTGATACAGTCTGCATTTAAACATACATTTGGTGGGGATGTTTCTAGATTTGCTAGGGAAGCGAGGAGAGGTCAGGTAGTACATGTCTCCTTTTTCAGGTGTAGGAAATGTGGTAGGAGCAGTTTGGAGGAAACCGTGCCATATGTAGTTTTATAAAACATAAAATCTTTTTTTTGTTTTAGTGTGAAAAGAACTAAAACAAAAAGCGGCATCATGAGCAAATCACAGACCAGCAGGGACACTGTGGGAACATCTAGTGACTCAGTGATTGCAGAGATAGCAAAGAGGAGGGATGATGGTCAGGCTTCACCCAGTCTCCCATCAGAATCCATGGCCCAAGCAAAGGATTACATAAAGGCAGCTGAGAGCCACTGGGGGCTTCCTGTTCAAAAGCTGGAAAATGTTAATCAGAGCCAGCCAGAAGACACTGGCAGCCAGCAAAAACCTCATCCTGGGGAGCGGTTAAAGACAGGGCTTCTAAGCAGGAGCTCTGTCTATAGCTGTGAGTCAGCATCACCAGGTCCAAAACAAAGTCCACGAGCAGCCAAAACACAACACAAACGCAGGAACTGCGGCTCTGCGGAAGACTTCGACCACCGCAAGAGAGTTTCTCTTGGAAGTGATCGATTAGTCCCAAGAGAAATAATGGTGGAAAAAAGCAAAGCTGTCAGGGTTTTGCCAACTTCAGAGTTGTCAGTTCCGGGGTTACTTTTGAAACAAGATTTGGCAAAAAGCACGTCTAAGGAAGAGTTGCATGTTTTGGAAAATCTCTCCTCCAGACATATTATGAAAAATGACACAGGGCAGGCACAGCAAACTGGCTCAGCCACAAACACAGGAAGATTATCTGCAGTTCACAGCAGCCCAACCAAGAAAAGAAGGAAATACGAAAGAGGCCATTAACACTAAAGGGATTGTAAAGTTGTAGCTGAGGGTGTAGTGGCCAAACCTGTGACAAGACAGCCAGGTGTATAGATGCTGGGGTTTTAAAGGAATTGATTAGAATGATTATTTTAAATAGAAAGAATATATCAGCTTTAGGGTTCATTTTCAAAGCCGTCACCTCCAGGGTGGTTGTTCTAACAATATTGCTACTTTCTCATCATATTGTATAACTCTGTTCAGAAAGTGATTATAATGACAAAGACCCTTGTCAGGGATGAGACCGTTTGAGGCTTGCATGAATTGTTTGCCCCTCCTTGTCACATCACTTTGCAGACCACATGGGCCACATAGACGCTGCCATGGTGCTGCAGTTCAGTTTTAGGGGTTCATTCGATCTTCCTGCTCCTCAGCCTGAGTAGGGGGCAGTAAAGGAACAGGCTAGTGGTTCTCAACGTGTGGTCCTGGGACCAGCATCATTGTCTGGAAATGTGTTAGAAATGCGATGTTGGGCTCCATCCCAGACCTGCTGACTGAGAAACTGTGGGTGATTCTGAAACATGCTCAAGTTTGAGAACAACTGGACTAATGGAGACTCCCTACTGTTTATTTCCTCCAGCCAGGCTACCATGGCCTCCAGCTCTTCAGCTGGGGCCACGTGTGGACATGTACACCCTCATACTCTTCTCAAACTTGTAAACCATCTGGCTTCAGTGTGAATCACTATGTTCTCAGGTTCGACAGTATGGCAGCCACGGCACCCAGCTGTTATTTACCCTTACAATTGCCAGAAATTTAAGGATAATTCAGCCAGCATTAGGAGAAGACATGGGAGAGACTTGCTATTGCTTGTAGCTCAGGTGAGTAGCTTGGCCCCACCTCTAAGACTTTGGTTAGGTTCATAACCAGTCAGAACCTACAGGGAACTCGGTGGCCATAGTTTCCAGATTCTCATCTGGAAGGCTTCACCGGAAGTTGAAATTTCAAAACAGAAGCCTTCCATTTGCAGCATCACCTGCTAATGTCTCCAGTGGGCTTGCTGAAATGTCACATAGTGAATCACAGTATGTTGATGGACACTTACTACCTACTAAAGATTTTCTTAACCCAATTTCATGCTAAAGTAGGAAAGAAATCATATTCAAATGCCACCCATCCAATATGTCTTTTTTTCCTGCTCAACACTGGGTGGTCCTTTGAAGCAGCACCTCCCATAAGTAATAAAGAAAATTGAGTATATTCCCCAAAGTGTTGAAGTTAGCAGAAAAATAACCAAGAAAAGGCCCCCCAAAATACAAGAATATGGAAACAGGCCCAGTGTAGGTTTATGCTAGAGATGAATTAGTGATTTATCCCACCTCATTCTGTTCTTCCCTGTATCTCTTTTCCCCACTTGTATTATAGGGTAAGACTCATTAGGAAGCAGTCATATTTCATAGCACCTTTTTGAGTCATGAAGTTCAGCCTTGGTCAGCAAGCCTGGCTGTGGATGTAGATGCTGTTACTTTGGTGTTCCACACCCTGCCTGGAAACCCATGCCCTTCCTGTTTCTCAGCCTCAACACCTCCACCAGAAACATAGCCCTGCCCACTGGTGGCCTTTTATCTTCCATGCTAGCTTTTTTGCCTGCTCCCATTTAATTCCAGCCAAAGGAATCCATAGAAGAAGAGGGAGCCCAGCAAAATACTAACCTCAGTGGAGCTGATTCTGCTTATACAGTAGGGGTAGACTGCACAGAGTGGAAACCTCCTGAGAATGTGGGAGAATATCAGTTTTCCTCCTCTCTTGGAGGGACCAATATTCTAGGTGTGCCCTTTACTGAAGACAGGATCTCTGTGGGTCATTGAATCTTCTTCAACAGAAACAGTTATTAGAACAGTTTATAAACAGGTTGGGCACAAGTACTAACCCAAGTGATAGCCAAATAACAGCTCCCTGGAAGAGTCTATAATAAAAAATGCAGCCGTTCCAGAACACTAGCTGCTGCCTGCTCCCAAACTAGGAGGAGATACTCAAACTTAAGTCATCAGAGAAAGTTTCTACTAAGAAGTTTTTGTTTCACTGGTTAGCCTAGGCTTGGTGGTTAAGGCCAATACTTATAATGATTTTCTTTCAAGAAAAGTCTTGGCTTTAGAGTTTGGTATATTTGGGGTAATAACAATTACTATGATCTAAGAGGAAAAGTAGCACCTTGGGTCGTAGATTCACGTGGTCCTTCTCACAACCTTCACGTACAAGGGATTTTAACAGGATTCATGGAAGGACTGGCTCGCAGCTCCACATGATGGCATGTGTTTGAGGAATTTTGCCTTTAAGCGTTTTTCTTGCACACGTCTGAAACACCCCTGGATCTCTTGTTACTTGAGTGATCGTGTGATTCTTTGGATATTTGGATGTACAAAGGAGAAAGTGGCTGCCAGGTTTTTTTTTTATTTATTGGATGGGATATGAAGAATTCTCTACCATTGAGAATGGTATATGTTTTGATATTCTTAGTAATCATAATAATTTTACATCTGAAAGTCTGAGACTCTGTCAGTATTCTTAGTAAAAAATAAGTTCTTTAACCACTTAGTACCTAAATTAACAGAGGGAGAGAGCATACCTAGGGTTGTGGGTGGGGGAAGGGGGAAAGGGGAAGGGGGAGGAAGGTTGGGGAATAATTGGGTGGGGGACATGGGGAATAATTGCAATTTGTGGTAATGGGCATGCTGATAGTATTGATCTGATCATTACATCTTGGGTACGGGTGGTGATAATCAGCTTTGTATCCATGAATATGCATAATCAATTAAAAAAATTTTTTAAAGAATTTCTGGAATGACAAGTATATTTAACCCTTTAAAATCCAATTGTTCCCAAAGGTACCTGACTCAATTCCAGGCATTTTTCTATTCCTGTACATATGATAAGTATTTATTACCTTATGAGCTTTTCCTGTGTTTCCCTGGTTCTCTGTGGTCCCCTGCACCTCCACCTCTCACTGTTCTCTCTAGATAGTTCAGCCTCAGTCTGATTGCTGGATCATTTTGGATGAACAGATCAAATGTGTAGAGAAAATTTATGTCCCAGGAATAGAGAAGAAACCAGAAGAAACTGGCTAGAGATACCTTCAGCACTTTAGTCCCCCTCTAGAATTCTCATGTACAGCAATAGATGCTATAGGACTCTAGATCAGTTATACAAAGTTTTCTTGCCCATAGGAGGCTCTCTCTTCCCTGGGAATGAAGGAGATAACTCCCAGAGATCTCTGTGCACTTGTAGGTGTAACCCCACTCCTACTTTCCCAAGGTGACCTAAAGGAGATAAAGTTTATATGAATTTTGAAGGGTATCAAAGTGTAGGCTAGAAGATTAAGTATGTAAAAAACATTATAGGAACAAAATAAAGCATAACAAAAAATTTATATTCAAGTTCTTGTGACTTTGTTGCTTGGAGGAGATGTCAATCCAATGTGATTAACGTTATGACTTTGAACTCCCTAACTTTCTCAGTGTTGTGGATTCTAAGCCATCTTCGTGTGCTTTTAAATGACATTTTAATAGATTGGTGTTTTTTTGTTTTGTATTTTTTTTTTTAAATGCCCATAAACAAATGTCTGGGAACAGTTGGTGTGATTTTTTTACACATTTTCTTTTCTTTGCCACTGGAGGTCACCTGTCACCCAGATGGGCATATGTAAATGCCCATAAACAAATGTCTGGGAACAGTTGGTGTGATTTTTTTTACACATTTTCTTTTCTTTGCCACTGGAGGTCACCTGTCACCCAGATGGGCATATGAATTGTTAGATATGCAGGAGCAAACATTGGGATGAGGGTGGTGAGTGCTGCAGCTTTTTTGTTCCCTTACTTTAATACTAAAGAAATATGGAAAGTGTGTTTCATTTTATAAAAAACAAGAGTCATAAAAACCCTCTGTATTTTGATTTATGGAGAATATAGCTTATCTCTGAATGAAATATCTCAAGGTACATCTTGGGGACAACAATGAGATCACAGTGTAATTGTTTGCTTTTGCTGTCATGTTTGGAGTTTTGCACTGATTGTTGTACATATCAGTAGCCTTTGATTTCAGAAAGAGCTTGGCAAGGGCAGAACACTTAAGGGAAAGAAACCTCTGTGCCCAAGAGAATGGCCTGGGATCACAGTGTCGCCATTCTCAGTTTCCTTGAATTCCTTCTTGGCAGGCCCTACTGTAATATTTTCACAAAATCTTAGTGAGTGGCCTTTTTTTAAAAAAAATTTTGTCTTTTTTTGTGACCGGTAAGGGGATTGCAACCCTTGGCTTGGTGCCGTCCGCACCGCGCTCAGCCAGTTAGCGCACCGGAGTGAGTGGCCCTTTTTGAGGCAACAAAAGGCTTTCCTAAGATCCAGAAATTCTCTATTTAACATGCTGTGACTTGAATAAGGAAATCATTTTAATTTCTTCTTTTCTCTTATGAGGAAATTTCCATACTTGGTTTGTCAAGACAAGAGAATTCATTCCTTGTTATTGAAACACTAATGAATTGAAACACGTTGGAGCAAGTAAAAAATCAAAATTAAGCTAGTTTCTCTTAAATAATTTAAAGCCTTCCTTAGTACAAAATAAATTAAGCATTGTAAAATGAAGTTAATTCAGGTAATTACTCAGTACAGAAGTCTAACCATATATATCATTGGTATTGCAATTTAAGGGTATAATTAAATTCTCGGAAATCTGCAGAACTCCCTCTAATTTGGTTTCTATATTTATTTAACAAGACTGGAAACAAATATATGTCAATGTGCAGCTTAACAGAGGGGACTTGAACGGATGAAATTATCTTTAATTATCTAGAACTACTCAGTACTGGGCTTGAATTTAATCATATTCAAATAAGTTTCATTTTGCAGCATAATATTAACATATACCATATTACCTTATAATTATCATTACTTCCTTATCAAAAATTTTGATTTTTTTACTTGAGCAAAAATCAATAAAACTACATACATTTGACACTAAAACATCTGATCGAGTGACTGAATGTGTGAATTTGACAGATCCCCAGAATAACTTTATTCAATCAAGTTAGAAAGCCAAACACTGCGGTAATCACCAGGAGAGCTCTTTTTTCCCATTGACCTTATCTTCTCATTTGTCTTCTTTTCAACTATTTAAATAGCGTACATAGTTGTGCACGCCTAGGGAATAAAACTGTTATGCGGTGAAAATGTACCTGTTTTATGAATAAAGAACAAAATTATTTAAAAAAATTAATTAGTCTGTATTACTTTTGTTCTCCAAAAATAAGTGAATTAACTCCAAGGAATACACATCCAAAAATGCCCTTTTCTGGACATGCTGTTTTAAATTATGTTCTATTTATAAGAAATTTTTTTCCTCTTTAAAGCAATTCCGAGGTTTTGAATACGTTGTTAAAGGAACATTACATTTAAACCTTTGGCCCTAAAGATTTAGATATGGAAAACCCAATGTGAAACATCGTGATTAAATTGACTGACAAGGTTTGGGGATGCTCCTTATGATGTGGACTATGTGGATTTGTTCCCACTCCTCCTCCCAACTGTGAGTTGAGATAGATTTCGTGTGAGGGGTTAAAGTATGTGACCTTGACTCCTTTCCAGAGAATCCTGACATTCCCCAAGTGGATTCATTTCCATTTTCAAAGTGGATCTAGTCCTTGTTAAGGACTGATGAAGCCCTGACTTTTTCTCTACGTTGCCTTTTATTTATTTTTATTATTTATTTTTTTAATTTTATTTTTTTCTCCCTAATCCCCTTTCCTCCTCCCCTTTTCCCACCTCTGGTGTCCTCAGTTCTGTTCTCCCCTTTTGAGAGTTCAAGAAATTATTGTTACACTGCCTTTTATTTCAGTATCCCAAGTCTCTCTGGTTGCTTTTAAGTACACTTCCCATCCGGTCCTGTATGTAACTTTTCAGAAGCATTTCAATATCAGGTTAGAATAATACATTTGAATAGATGTGCATGAAATGCTGAGAACCACTGCAGTTGATGGGGCATAGCTCCTTTCTTCTTATTGTTCTGGTCTAGGGGGCTTGCCATATGGCCTAATGCACAGGAAAGACGCCCTGCCCTGGACATGGGCCGGGGCTGGGATCTATCTGGGGACTGCGTAACAGCATGGTGCTGCAAGCCGCAAACACTGGTTGCAGGCTGCGGCTTTGCTACTAGTTTTTTATGTTTTGGGACAAATCACTTAACCTCTTGGGCCTCAGTTTCTTCATCTGGTAAATAAAATTATCTATAGTATTCTAAGTGCCACACATGGCTCTTAGAATCCTGAGGTAAACATACCACTCCCATGTCTTAATTTCTTCCACTATTTAAAAATGGTTCTCTGCACTGGCTACACCTTGGAATCACCTGGGTAGCTACTAGTTAAATCAGAATCTCTGCGGTTTGGCCTGGACGTTAGTATTGTTAAAGCTCCTCAAGTAATGAATCTCATGAGACGCCATAGTTAAGAACTATTGTTTAAAAATTTGGTGTGTGTGTGAGTACTGAATGTTAAAAGACAAAAGGTCTACTAAGAGCTGAGTATCCCTTAGAAGAGGGGCTTTCTGCAAATCAGAAGTGAAGCTGCTTTCAAACAAATGAGTGAGAAAGGCTTTGGGGAGAAGGTGTCTGTCAGTAGGCACACCTTGCAGTCACACAGGCAGATGTGTCCCTCTGCGTTTGTTCTGCCCCTCTGGACCCTTACACATCCGAACACACCATCGTTCCCAACACTGAGAAATCGTTACCCTCATTCAGAAGACGAGTGTTTAAAGCACCTAAATAATTGTCTGAAATTTTTACATAAACCTCTGGGGTTTGCCTTTGATCCCTGATCATTAATATCATTAATAGGCTCTCTAAAAGTGCGTGTGAATCTCAAGTTAGCATTTGGCAGGGCAGTGGAAGAATGAACGCTTTTAAAATAGTTTGGCTCCAAAAGCGCATCTGAAATAACCCTGTGGGAAAATCAGGAGAATCTCTCATCCTCCAAAGGATCACCTAGGATGAGATACTGACCTTGTATTTTAAGTTCAGCTACATTTCTTAAAACCTCATTCATTACCCAGCCTGATTTATTTTAGGGGGTGAACTAGCTATAGGAGGGGGCTCTTTGATGATGTAGTTTTTGTTTGCTTTTTGTTTTCTGTACAGTTCCCAAGATTTTTTATCATAATGTATATATATTTCTTAAAAATAATTAAAAAAAAGACCAGCTTCTTCACGAGATTTACTACAGCTTTTTCCTCCACAATTAGAGTTGGAGAATTCTCTCCTTTTCAGGCTCTAAGGCGCTCAAACCCCAGAAGGCTGAGTGTGTGCGGGGTGAGCAGAGCGCTGACCTCTGCCGGGGAGAGGTCAGCCCAGCACAGAAGACTCAAAAGGGAGGAAGAAAAAGCAACGCCTCAGCAGGGAGTTTGACTTGCTTTAGGGCAGAAGAGCTTTTATAAATGAGTTCCCAGTCTCCCACGCCCTCTCACTTGCTCTCTTCTATTACTAGACCTGTCTCTGCGCTTAGATACACACACACACACACACACACACGGCACACAAGCGCACAAA